TGAGATAGGGTTCGATTTTTTTGCTTTTGCACAATAATGCTTGACAAAGAAACTTGAAGAAAAGACTATTGATTCCTATTCTTTATATGTTCGCTTGTTTGGTTTTATACACAGCAAAATGTGAATTCAGCAGCAAACTTCGTTTTTACATCAAAGACTGGTCTCCCTCGCGTGGTTCTGGTGCTACGGTGGGTCTTATTTTTCCAGAAATATTCGTCTCTCCACTCTCGGAGTTTGAACAGCATATGTACAGTAGCGATCCCAGGACAGATACTGTCTCGTTAATGCAGTTGGAGAGCCGTAGAGCTGTCCCACAGGCCTCACAGCCCCCCATAATCCAAAGCCTCAGCCAGGACATTTTAATAATTCCACAACTCGACGGCCGCGAAGTGAAAAACCACTACAGACTTCGGGATCACGCACATTTCTTTCATTTTCTTGTTTTTCGATAGCAAACCAGAAAGCTGTCAGCCGATCTGCGGCATTAATATTGCGAGTAAAAGCTTTAGCTCTGCAAAAGCGGCCCTTGTTCGTTCTTTTCGCGCTAGTGGGAAGAACCGCCGCCATCTTGGATGTAGCATTGTTATGCGCAGTAGAGGGTGCGCAATGCAAAACAAGGGAATTACCTTAACAGCCACAGAAATCACACGAACTGGATTTTTTACAAAGACATCTTAAAATCGATGGATCGATCTTTCCGTCCTACGGGAAGCATCCAATTATTATTATTAATATATTTTTTTGCGGTGGGAGGGGTTGTTATGCTGAGGGACGCAGGACTTGTAAAGAGGTAGCAAAATCACTGGAGGGTATATAGGTTTGATTCGTCTCTTCTGCACCCCGGAAACTTCTAGTTCAGCTTTTGACTTTGTCTGCACAACAAGAAATATTCTTTCATTTGTCTCTAACGAATAAAACAGGCTTTTTGGTATGTTTGTAAGTGCTAAAACCATGTTTATACATGTACATCGATTTAATATGTCGCCTATAGTTAACAGACGGGAAAAGGGAAGGAGCCAAAAAAAATAATTAAATTCTTAAAGGTAAAATGGATCGTAAAGCTGAAGTTGTATTTAGGCAGTATTCAGTTATACAATGAATTCGGCACCATATTGCTTTCTGCGGGCCACGCCCCGACTATCCATGATCCTTCTTTTACAATTTATTGTTGCTCTTCCGTTGTATATCACAATTTTGTATCTTCTACATTTTGCTGTTCAAAAGTGAGCTTTAAATTATTGTGATCCATTGTCAATGTTCGTCTCTGTATCACTGGCGCCAAATGTGCAGCCATGTCATCCCTTCCTGCATTTTCTTTGCTGCTCATCACTTCGTGTCTTGTAAAACAGCACAAACTGAGAGCCTCTTTGAAATCAGGAATTCTTGGTGCGTACACTATTGGATTGATAAAGGAGTTGGAGAAATAGGTGAAGTACGTTATGAGGGAAATGTTGTTAGACGTCCTATATCCAAGAAAGGCTATCAAGTTATAAACCAAAGGTGTAAGCCAAGAACCCGTGGCGATGAGAGATACTAATAACAAAGTCTTTGTTAAGCGCCGTCTTTGTACGACTCTGTTTTGGTGATGAGGAACAGTTTGTTGCTGAATCTTTCTCCAAACACCAAAATTGAGGCCGCTGATAATTAGAAGTACAGAAACGAAGATTAAAGACAGGAAAGAATTCAGAGCCACCAGGCTTGAGAATTGCAGGAGAAAAACTGTGAAAAGAGATCCAAGGATACTTAATGTCCACACCGTCAAAATAACGAACCTGTATGCTCGGGTAGAAAGTGTCTCACGGTGCTTCAGCGGCCAATAGATGACGTAAAATCTCTTACAAGATATCAAAGCAGCGGTAATGAATGACGCCTGAGCAAAAACGAGGAAAATAATTGTAAAAAGCGTTGGAGTTTGTTCATTAAATTTAACCTGACCAAGAGCCAGGGAGTAAACATATGTAGGGAGAGATATACCTCCCAGAAACAGATCAGCAAATGCCATATTCAAAACAAGATATAAACTTTTCTTAGATCGTAGTTTCTTCTTAAGTGCAAAAAGTACCATTGTGAGCAAGTTTCCCACGACAATAACAACAGCTTCCGTCGAAAGAGCACAACTCCAAGCGATGACTTGTACCGAAGAAAAGGACATATCGTCCAGGTGGTTGAAGGTTGATTTATTTGTCTGATTTGTCATCTCTTGGTCAATGCAAACTCTTTATTTAGTGTTGCATGAGAAACAGACTTGCAGCGACCAACAAGGTTCGTTGATAATGGTTATTTTGCTACAAATGACTTTTAATAAATGTAAAGAAAGACAAAGTGGATGTAATTAATTTTGCAAAACTGGCCAGCTGATAGAACAACAAAGGCTGACAATCATAGAGGTCTAGAAAGTTTTGAATTTTCGGCAAAAAATTGATAGATCACCTGTTGTCTCTATGGAGAGCTTACCAAAAAAAAAATTTTTCAAAATTTGTGAAAATTTGAAGGTAACTTGTATACAACTCTGAAATAGTAAAAAATATTGATTTCCAAAAAGTGATATTACTGTATTTGAAATTAAAGGAGAATGAAAATTGATAGCGTAATTAGCCTTGTTTTATTGCTTGTCATTAGTACATATATGTGGCTGATTAGATCTGTTTTGTAAAAGCTTCCAGCTAGGTTGTGCTGATGAATTTTAATAAATGCAAAGAAGCTGTCCAAGGCTGCTTCTTGACTACTCTGTTAATTTCCAGGCGCGGATCCATACCGGTTTACCGTTTTACAGAAATCTGTCAGATTTTTCATAATAAATACATTTTTAGTAAACAACTTTAATCTTTCCAAGTTGAAATCTGCAAAGTGATTTGGACAGTGAGTAAATATCTTATCTGAATGACTCAAAAACCCAGGGAAGGGGACTTTGGGGAGTTAAAATTAAAAAAATTTCTTGAGGAACCGTGCCCCCATACCTTCCTAGAAGTAGGAAATCGGTCAGTATTGATTCTCGATCCGCGCCTGATTTCCATCCATGTTGCCGCTGATTCGTTCTTACTTTGGTATATCCTATTCTATTCTAAGCCGGCACAGTCGGTTTGCTTGTTGGTAAGGACAATTTGAGATATAACATATTTTGCGTAAGTAGACGTTTTAAGGGGTATATTGTCCAGTTTAGGAGGATAAGGGATTGACAACACTCAGCATGCTATATATTATACGTAAGATTTATTATCAGTATCTGGCAGTAGTAGTTAATGGTGGGCTTTATCGACCGCCTTTATTTTTCTGTAATGTGTCTGTTTATTTGTGCCTGTGACTTTTAGTGTTTTTGGCTTTCCCATAAAGCAGTGTTGGCAGCGTAAACAGCTGTTTCGCTGTTCTTGTATAAATAACAGCTCCTCGGTACAGCATGCGTATCCAAGCTTTTACACAAGACCTCTTATTTTATTTATACTACAAACTAGGCAGATAATCTTCGTATTTATCTAGAAAGTGTTTGCTTTGCAAGTTATTCTTCATTTTAAAAGTGTTAATTTTTTTAAATCTCTTATCATATGGAGCATTCATGTTACGAATGGCGCTCCCCTTCTTTTGTGTTCAAACTGTACGCTGTCACGTTAATTAAAGGTTCAGCTGGAATTAAAATCCTCTTCTTGAATGACAATTGGTTTGAAAGAAAATTGTTATCAAGACGACGTCAAATGGTCTGCAGCTTTCACGTTTAACGCGGCTTTTATGAATATTGTTTTTAAAGCAAGAATTTTTAGAATTCAGGCGTCTTTAAAAGCACTTTATACATGTAATGAAAGATCATGATGATGATTCTCATGCAGTGTTCGCTTAAAATGGCGGGTAACTTTTTCCGAAGGGATGGAACAGGTGGTCACATAATTGGTTTCCAATAACTGTGCTTCGAAAGTCCATACTAAGTTTTCATCACAAAGTCAGTCTGTAGGCGCGTAGAAAGATAGCGTGTATCGTTTATTAACGTCTATTTGATGTAAAGATCAGAGCGATTTGCTCTTGATTTTGTTGTATGTTGAAGTATATGAATAAAACGATGATGCACAGTGATTTTGTTAGAAAAAGTAGTGATGAATCCTAGGACTCATCTTGTGAATAATCTTGAGTCCAAGTGTAGAACCAGTGGGTCGGATATTTAAAGGAAGTCTAACTTAGACCGCGGTTTAAGAAATCTTTGGACAACCAGATCTCTTCCTTTTGGGGTTATTTTAAGAAGATAAATGCTTTCTAGCATACACTATATGCTTTAATAAAACTGTTTACTACAAATGGTGGTTAGATAATAGCGTTGGGTAAACTGAACGCGGTTTTGTTAAAAACTGGATGGTTAAACCCCGTTTAAATAACCTGCCCGATAAGTCCCAGGTCAAAAAACAACGAGTTCTAAATTGTAAATGCTTTGGTCTTATGTAACAAGGCAGTCACTGAATTTGAAGACAGACTTCAAAACTCTTTATCTCAGTTTACTGAAATTAAAATATAGTCGTTAAACAACAGCCACATTAACAGCCACAGAAATCACACGAACTGGATTTTTTACAAAGACATCTTAAAATCGATGGATCGATCTTTCCGTCCTACGGGAAGCATCCAATTATTATTATTAATATATTTTTTTGCGGTGGGAGGGGTTGTTATGCTGAGGGACGCAGGACTTGTAAAGAGGTAGCAAAATCACTGGAGGGTATATAAGTTTGATTCGTCTCTTCTGCACCCCGGAAACTTCTAGTTCAGCTTTTGACTTTGTCTGCACAACCAGAAATATTCTTTCGTTTGTCTCTAACGAATAAAACAGGCTTTTTGGTATGTTTGTAAGTGCTAAAACCATGTTTATACATGTACATCGATTTAATATGTCGCCTAGTTAACAGACGGGAAAAAGGAAGGAGCCAAAAATTGATGAAATTCTTCAAGGTAAAATGGATCGCAAAGCTAAAGTTGCATTTAGGCAGTATTCAGTTATACAATGAATTCGGCACCATATTTTTTTCTGCGGGTCACGCCCTGACTATCCATGATCCTTCTTTTACAATTTATTGTTGCTCTTCCGTTGTATATCACAATTTTGTATCTTCTACATTTTCCTGTTCAAAAGTGAGCTTTAAATTGTTGTGATCCATTGTCAATGTTCGTCTCTGTATCACTTGCGCCAAATGTGCAGCAATCTCATCCCTTCCTGCATTTTCTTTGCTGCTCATTACTTCGTGTCTTGTAAAACAGCATAAACTGAGAGCCTCTTTGAAATCAGGAATTCTTGGTGCGTACACTATCGGATTGATAAAGGAGTTGGAGAAATAGGTAAAGGACATTATGAGGGAAATGTTGTTAGACATCCTATATCCAAGAAAGGCTATCAAGTTTTAACCAAAGGTGGAAGCCAAGAACCCATGGCGATGAGAGATACTAATAACAAAGTCTTTGTTAAGCGTCGTCTTTGCAAGACTCTGTTTTGGTGATGAGGAACAGTTTGTTGCTGAATCTTTCTCCAAACACCAAAATTGAGGCCACTGATGATTAGAAGTACAGACACGAAGATTAAAGACAGGAAAGAATTCAGAGCCACCAGGCTTGAGAATTGCAGGAGAAAAACTGTGAAAAGAGAACCAAGGATACTTAATATCCAGACCGTCAAAATAACGAGCCTGTATGCTCGGGTAGAAAGTGTCTGACGGTGCTTCAGCGACCGATAAATGGCGTAAAATCTCTCACAAGATATCAAAGCAGCGATAATGAATGATGCCTGAGCGAAAACGAGGAAAATAATTGTAAAAAGCGTTGGAGTTTGTTCATCAAATTCAACCTGACCAAGAGCCAGGGAGTAAACATATGTAGGGAGAGATATATCTCCCGGAAACAGATCAGCAAATGCCATATTCAAAACAAGATATAAACTTTTCTTAGATCGTAGTTTCTTGTTAAGTGCAAAAAGTACAATTGTGAGCAAGTTTCCCACGACAATAACAACAGCTTTCGTCGCAAGAGCACAACTCCAAGCGATGACTTATACCGAAGAAAAGGACATATCGTCCAGGTGATTGATGGTTGATTTGTTTGTCTGATTTGTCATCTCTTGGTCAATGCAAACTCTTTATTTAGTGTTGCATGAGAAACAGACTTGTAGCGACCTACAAGGTTCGTTGATAATGGTTATTTTGCTACAAATGACTTTTCATGAATGTAAAAGAAGACAAAGTGGATCTGATTTGCTTTACTGGCCAGCTGATAGAACAACAAAGGCTGACAATCATAGAGGTCTACAAAGTTTTGAATTTTCGGCAAAAAATTGATAGATCACCCGTTTTCTCTATGGAGCGCTTACCAAAAAAATTATTCAAAATTTGTGAAAATTTGAAGGTAACCTGATACATCTCTGAAATAATGAAGAGTGATATTACTGTACTTAAAATAAAAGGAGAATGAAAATTGGTAGCATAATTAGCCTTGTTTCATTGCTTGTCATTAGTACATATATGTGGCTGATTAGATCTGTTTTGTAAAAGCTTCCAGCTAGGTTGTGCTGATGAATTTTAATAAATGTAAAGCAGCTGTCCATGGCTGCTTCTTGACTACTCTGTTAATTTCCAGGCGCGGATCCATACCGGTTTACCGTTTTACAGAAATCGGTCTGATTTTTCATAATAAATATATTTTTAGTAAACAACTTTAATCTTTCCAAGTTGAAATCTGCAAAGTGATTTGGACAGTGAGTAAATATCTTGTCTGAATGACTCAAAAACCCAGGGAAGGGGACTTTGGGGAGTTAAAATTAAAAAAATTTCCTGAGGAACCATGCCCCAGACCTTCCTAGAAGTAGGAAATCGGTCAGTATTAATTCTTGATCCGCGCCTGATTTCCATCCATGTTGCCGCTGATTCGTTCTTACTTTGGTATATCCTATTCTATTCTAAGCCGGCACAGTCGGTTTGCTTATTGGTAAGGACAATTTGAGATATAACATATTTTGCGTAAGTAGACGTTTTAAGGGGTATATTGTCCAGTTTAGCAGGATAAGAGATTGACAACACTCAGCATGCTATATATTATACGTAAGATTTATTATCAGTATCTGGCAGTAGTAGTTAATGGCGGGCTTTATCGACCGCCTTTATTTTTCTGTAATGTGTCTGTTTATTTGTGCCTGTGACTTTTAGTGTTTTTGGCTTTCCCATAAAGCAGTGTTGGCAGCGTAAACAGCTGTTTCGCTGTTCTTGTATAAATAACAGCTCCTTGGTACAGCACGCGTATCCAAGCTTCTACACAAGACCTCTTATTTTATTTATACTACAAACTAGGCAAATAATCTTCGTATTTATCTAGAAAGTGTTTGCTTTGCAAGTTATTCTTCATTATAAAAGTGTTAGTTTTTTTTAATCTCTTATCATAGGGAGCTTTTATGTTACGAATGGCGCTCCCCTTCTTTTGTGTTCAAACTGTACGCCGTCACGTTAATTAAAGGTTCAGCTGGAATTAAAATCCTCTTCTTGAATGACAATTGGTTTGAAAGAAAATTGTTATCAAGACGACGTCAAATGGTCTGCAGCTTTCACGTTTAAAGCGGCTTTTATGAATATTGTTTTTAAAGCAAGACTTTTTAGAATTCAGGCGTCTTTAAAAGCACTTTATACATGTAATGAAAGATCATGATGATGATTCTCATGCAGTGTTCGCTTAAAATGGCGGGTAACTTTTTCCGAAGGGATGGAACAGGTGGTCACATAATTGGTTTCCAATAACTGTGCTTCGAAAGTCCATACTAAGTTTTCATCACAAAGTCAGTCTGTAGGCGCGTAGAAAGATAGCGTGTATCGTTTATTAACGTCTATTTGATGTAAAGATCAGAGCGATTTGCTCTTGATTTTGTTGTATGTTGAAGTATATGAATAAAACGATGATGCACAGTGATTTTGTTAGAAAAAGTAGTGATGAATCCTAGGACTCATCTTGTGAATAATCTTGAGTCCCAATGTAGAACCAGTGGGTCGGATATTTAAAGGAAGTCTAACTTAGACCGCGGTTTAAGAAATCTTTGGACAACCAGATCTCTTCCTTTTGGGGTTATTTTAAGAAGATAAATGCTTTCTAGCATACACTATATGCTTTAATAAAACTGTTTACTACAAATGGTGGTTAGATAATAGCGTTGGGTAAACTGAACGCGGTTTTGTTAAAAACTGGATGGTTAAACCCCGTTTAAATAACCTGCCCGATAAGTCCCAGGTCAAAAAACAACGAGTTCTAAATTGTAAATGCTTTGGTCTTATGTAACAAGGCAGTCACTGAATTTGAAGACAGACTTCAAAACTCTTTATCTCAGTTTACTGAAATTAAAATATAGTCGTTAAACAACAGCCACATTAACAGCCACAGAAATCACACGAACTGGATTTTTTACAAAGACATCTTAAAATCGATGGATCGATCTTTCCGTCCTACGGGAAGCATCCAATTATTATTATTAATATATTTTTTTGCGGTGGGAGGGGTTGTTATGCTGAGGGACGCAGGACTTGTAAAGAGGTAGCAAAATCACTGGAGGGTATATAAGTTTGATTCGTCTCTTCTGCACCCCGGAAACTTCTAGTTCAGCTTTTGACTTTGTCTGCACAACCAGAAATATTCTTTCGTTTGTCTCTAACGAATAAAACAGGCTTTTTGGTATGTTTGTAAGTGCTAAAACCATGTTTATACATGTACATCGATTTAATATGTCGCCTAGTTAACAGACGGGAAAAAGGAAGGAGCCAAAAATTGATGAAATTCTTCAAGGTAAAATGGATCGCAAAGCTAAAGTTGCATTTAGGCAGTATTCAGTTATACAATGAATTCGGCACCATATTTTTTTCTGCGGGTCACGCCCTGACTATCCATGATCCTTCTTTTACAATTTATTGTTGCTCTTCCGTTGTATATCACAATTTTGTATCTTCTACATTTTCCTGTTCAAAAGTGAGCTTTAAATTGTTGTGATCCATTGTCAATGTTCGTCTCTGTATCACTTGCGCCAAATGTGCAGCAATCTCATCCCTTCCTGCATTTTCTTTGCTGCTCATTACTTCGTGTCTTGTAAAACAGCATAAACTGAGAGCCTCTTTGAAATCAGGAATTCTTGGTGCGTACACTATCGGATTGATAAAGGAGTTGGAGAAATAGGTAAAGGACATTATGAGGGAAATGTTGTTAGACATCCTATATCCAAGAAAGGCTATCAAGTTTTAACCAAAGGTGGAAGCCAAGAACCCATGGCGATGAGAGATACTAATAACAAAGTCTTTGTTAAGCGTCGTCTTTGCAAGACTCTGTTTTGGTGATGAGGAACAGTTTGTTGCTGAATCTTTCTCCAAACACCAAAATTGAGGCCACTGATGATTAGAAGTACAGACACGAAGATTAAAGACAGGAAAGAATTCAGAGCCACCAGGCTTGAGAATTGCAGGAGAAAAACTGTGAAAAGAGAACCAAGGATACTTAATATCCAGACCGTCAAAATAACGAGCCTGTATGCTCGGGTAGAAAGTGTCTGACGGTGCTTCAGCGACCGATAAATGGCGTAAAATCTCTCACAAGATATCAAAGCAGCGATAATGAATGATGCCTGAGCGAAAACGAGGAAAATAATTGTAAAAAGCGTTGGAGTTTGTTCATCAAATTCAACCTGACCAAGAGCCAGGGAGTAAACATATGTAGGGAGAGATATATCTCCCGGAAACAGATCAGCAAATGCCATATTCAAAACAAGATATAAACTTTTCTTAGATCGTAGTTTCTTGTTAAGTGCAAAAAGTACAATTGTGAGCAAGTTTCCCACGACAATAACAACAGCTTTCGTCGCAAGAGCACAACTCCAAGCGATGACTTATACCGAAGAAAAGGACATATCGTCCAGGTGATTGATGGTTGATTTGTTTGTCTGATTTGTCATCTCTTGGTCAATGCAAACTCTTTATTTAGTGTTGCATGAGAAACAGACTTGTAGCGACCTACAAGGTTCGTTGATAATGGTTATTTTGCTACAAATGACTTTTCATGAATGTAAAAGAAGACAAAGTGGATCTGATTTGCTTTACTGGCCAGCTGATAGAACAACAAAGGCTGACAATCATAGAGGTCTACAAAGTTTTGAATTTTCGGCAAAAAATTGATAGATCACCCGTTTTCTCTATGGAGCGCTTACCAAAAAAATTATTCAAAATTTGTGAAAATTTGAAGGTAACCTGATACATCTCTGAAATAATGAAGAGTGATATTACTGTACTTAAAATAAAAGGAGAATGAAAATTGGTAGCATAATTAGCCTTGTTTCATTAATTGTCATTAGTACATATATGTGGCTGATTAGATCTATTTTGTAAAAGCTTCCAGCTAGGTTGTGCTGATGAATTTTAATAAATGCAAAGCAGCTGTCCATGGCTGCTTCTTGACTACTCTGTTAATTTCCAGGCGCGGATCCACACCGGTTTACCGTTTTACCGTTTTACAGAAATCGGTCTGATTTTTCATAATAAATATATTTTCAGTAAACAAGTTTAAACTTTTCACGTTAAAATCTGGAAAATGGTTTGGACAGTGACTAAATAATCTGTCTGAATGACTCAGAAACCCAGGGAAGGGGACTTTGGGGAGTTGAAATGAAAAAAATTCCCGAGGAACCATGCCCCCAGACCTTCCTAGAAGTAGGAAATCGGTCAGTATTAATTCTTGATCCGCGCCTGATTTCCATCCATTTTGCCACTGAATCGTTCTTACTTTGGTATGTCCTATTCTATTCTAAGGCGGCATAGCCGGTTTGCTTGTTGGCAAGGGCAATTTGAGATTTAAGATATTTTGCGTAAGTAAACTTTTTAAGCGGGATTTCGTCCAGTTTAGCAGGATAAG